ATGCAGACATGCATCCGGAACGTGAAAGTTGCGGTGTGAAGGAAACCACATCATAGACATGCATCCGGAACGTGAAAGTTGTGGTGTGAAGGAAAACCTGTCATAAACACGCATGCAGAAATGCATCCGGAACGTGAAAGTTGCGGTGTGAAGAAAACAAAACACGTCATAAACACACATGCAGAAATGCATCCGGAACGTGAAAGTTGTGGTGTGAAGGAAAACACGTCATAAACACGCATGCAGACATGCATCCGGAACGTGAAAGTTGCGGTGTGAAGAAAAACAAAAGAAAACATCATAAACATACATGTATCTGGAATGCAAACATTTCGGTGTGAACGCACTCACAGCGGCCACACATGCTATGATTTTATTGTTCGATCAAAACTGACAAGATAGCCAGAACTTCTCTTTCTGAATAATTTGGATCAGATTCCACCAACCAGGGTGGAAAATAATAGATCGGCAGCGCTGAGATGATTCGGTCATAAATCCGATTGCATTTATCGATTGATCAGATTATGAAGTTGCGCAGTGGAAACAGACATGATTGGATCGCTTATGATCGCCTCTGCCAACGATGGATCAAATCCCACCTCCCCGTGTGTGTCCTATGGATGGGATGGGTTGTTGGGGAAGGAAATCGATGGTTGATGGAGGAGCGTACGATCGCCATAAGTGGTCGATGGAAGCGCGCCCACCGATATGGGGAATCCCAGGGTTTGTTCCCTAAGTAGAAGTTGTCATTACACCAAGGTGGCAGACCCCTCCCCCATGCTGGGACTTGTAGTCCCCCAGCCCCCTGTAGCAGTGATGAAGCAGGACATGGGGGGGGGGGGTGACTTACCTAGTGCTAGTCCAGCCTGCAGCGCTGAGTGCTCATAGCAGAGGGTTGTACTGCTGCCTCCGGCACAGGAGAAGCCCCGGTCTCCGGCACACTCACACATGGGGAAGGGGCTGCGGCTCCAACTTTCCTCCCTCCAGCCTGAAGTCTCCGCCGAGCCCCGGATCCGCCGCACCGCCGACTCGGCACAGACCCTCATTGTGTATAGGGAGCCCTGCAGGCTGCGGCACTCCTTCTCCCCCTGCTGGGACAGCACGGGAACTGCAGCTCATGGCAAAAACAGCGCTGAGAACAACTCATTCAGGTGCACGGGAGCCCTCTGATGATGGCCAATTGTGAGAATGCAGCACACACATATTTGGTCAGGTTAAAATGGACCTTTACCCATAACAACTTGATAAAAAAAATGCTGTTTAGCAAGGAACATACAGTACATTCCACATTCATAATTCTGCTAGCAAAACTGGTGTGTGCTGTAAATTGCCTCCAGCATTGCTCCTGTTTTTTTTATTGCTGGAGGCTTCCCTTTTATTTATTTATTTATTACAGGTACTTATATAGCGCCATCATTTTTCGCCTCACTTTACATATATACTGTACATTCACATCAGTCCCTAACCCTAAAGGGGCGTACAATCTAAAGTCACTAACTCACATTCATACATACACATATTAGGGCCAATTTAGACAGGATACAATTATCCTACCAGCATGTCTTTGGAGTGTGAGAGGAAACTGGAGTACCCGGAGGAAACCCACGCAAGTACAGAGAGAACATGCAAACTCCAGGCAGGTGGTGCCATGGTTGGGATTTCTCTGCTTCTTCTCCCTACAAATTAATGAGAAGATACAAAGAGATTTTTAGTAAAAAGCTGCACGCATTACACAAATTAACACTTGATAGGCACACACCTATCCCATTGATTACCCGAGATGTTATAGTGTATAGTATTATCACTGATTTCTGTATTAATTGCACTGGTGATGTCAGTGTTAGTCATTTCCCACTCAGTGTCTGTGTCAGATTGCCCGCCACACTATTACAGCCCCATTATGAGTTGCTGATCACTGCCGTTAGTAGTATAAAAATAAATAAATAAATATTTTAGTATATATACCATAGCTTGTAGACGCTATAACTTTCAAGTATTGCTGGAGGCTGCCCTTTATTTATTTATTACAGGTACTTATATATACATGGGGCCCCCGTGTCCTTGCCCAAACTCAAAAAAGCCTATGAAAAAGGTACCAGAGGCATCTCATGGGGCCCCCTACTGACCCCGGGCCCTCGGGCAGTGCCCGAGTTTCCAAATGGTCAGTCCGCCCCTGGGTAGGTGTATTGTAATACTGAGAGACAGAATAGCAACAACAAATTCAGCAGAAATGCATGTCTAACAAATGATGCACTGATTTGCATGTTCATGAGGGAAATAAGTATTTGATCCCCTTCACAAAACATGACTTAGTACTTGGTGGCAAATCCCTTGTTGGCAATCACAGAGGTCAGACGTTTCCTGTAGTTGGCCACCAAGATTGCACACATCTCAAGAGGGATTTTGGCCCACTCCTCTTGGCAGATCCTCTTCAAGTCTCTAAGGTTTGGTGGCTGACGTTTGGCAACTCGAACTTTCACCTCCCTCCACAGATTTTCAATCGGATTAGGGTCTGAAGACTGGCTAGGCCACTCCAGGACCTTAATGTGCTTCTTCTTGAGCCACTCCTTTGTTGCCTTGGCCGTGTGTTTTGGGTCATTGTCATGCTGGAACACCCATCCACGACCCATTTTCAATGCCGTGGCTGAGGGAAGAAGGTTCTCACCCAAGATTTGAGGGTACATTGCCCCGTCAATCGTCCCTTTGATGCGGTGCAGTTGTCCTGTCCCCTTAGCAGAAAAACACCCCCAAAGCAGAATGTTTCCACCATCACGTTTGACAGTTGGGATGGTGTTCTTGGGGTCATAGGCAGCATTCCTCCTCCAAACACGGCGAGTTGAGTTGATGCCAAAGAGCTCGATTTTGGTCTCATCTGACCACAACACATTCAACCAGTCCTCCTCTGCATCATACAGATGTTCAGTGGCAAACCTCAGATGGGCCTGGACATGTGCTTTCCTAAGCAGAGGGACCTTGCGGGCACTGCAGGATTTCAGTCTTTGTCGGCGTAGTGTGTTACCAATTGTTTTCTTGGTGACTGTGGTCCCAGCTGCCTGGAGATCATTCACAAGATCCTCCCATGTAGTTCTGGGATGATTCCTCACTGTTCTCATGATCATTGACACTCCACGAGGTGAGATCTTGCATGGTGCACCAGACCTAGGGAGACTGACAGTTGTTTTGTGTTTCTTCCATTTGCGAATGATTGCACCAACTGTTGTCACCTTCTCACCAAGCTGGTTGGCAACAGTTTGGTAGCCCAATCCAGCCTTGTGTAGGTCTACAATCTTGTCCCTGACATCCTGGGACAGCTCTTTGGTCTTTGCCATGGTGGAGAGTTTGGAATCTGATTGTTTGATTGCTCCTGTGGACAGGTAAGATTAGCAGCACTCCCTTTAAGAGACTGCTTCTAATCTCAGCTTGTTACCTGTATGAAAGACACCTGGTAGCCAGAAATCCTGCTGAATGATAGGGGATCAAATACTTATTTCCTCATGAACATGCAAATCAGTGCAGCATTTATTAGACATGCATTTCTTTTGAATTCTGTGTTGCTATTCTAAGATAAGTAATTATATACCTCTTGCGCTTATATGGATATCTCTAAACAAAGCTGCTCTCACCCAACCTGACTCAATAGGTGTGTGCAAATCAATATAAAAAATGGTGAAGCGCTAAACAGTAAAATAAATAACACAAATACTATAATACAACATAATTATCCACACACAGTGCTCTGATCCAATCTGCATCCAATTGTGAATAAACACGTGAAAAAAATTGTGAAAACACAGGAAACCCCATTTACATACACACTAAAACGAGTGACTTAAAAAAATACATAAAATATATATATAAATAAATAACACCCTCCTGTCCCAATGATGGGACTATGCAAATAGTGTACCAAGTGAATCCCCTAAAGGGGACAAACAATATCAGTGATTAGTGACAATAAATAACAAAGGACCTATTCATATGTAACTCCTCATATAAATATTAATCACAAAAAACATACAAAAATAATGTCCAGTAGACAAAAAACATGAAAATATATGGCCGTGATCTTCACATAACTCATGCAGGTGATGATGTGAAAATAAGTGATCTCCACTCTGGTGAAAAACTCCTCAAAATGGCCAAAGTGGCCCCTTAGTTCCAAAAAGTGACCGCCAGGGGCCAGTGAGCTTTTTAGGATCACCTCCCGATCCTTATAGATGTAAACTTGTCACAGAAGAAAAACGCCACATAACTCCACCATGCACCATGGAGGATTCTTTTTCTGTTTCACTAATATGATCCTGAGTGGGAGTGAGCTGTATTGCGGTACCTGTGCCAGGAGGATCCTGAGAGGAGTAAATGGTGGTACGGAAGGGAGCTTACGTGGCGTTTTTCTTTCCTTACAGTGAAGTCGCACGATTTCAAAGTCGGGTGACTTGCCGATTTCAGGTGCGATTTGCAAGGCGTCTGATATAGATGTCTATATAAATGGCACCAATAGTAGTGCATGTACTACTTTAGAAATTGGTGCGGCTCCGGCCAAGTCAGAACCGCACCGATATGACCGTTCTCATTGCGGACAATAGACTGCGATTTGGCGTGCCGTTTGAAAGTCACACGGCATGCAAATCACATGCCAATTCACATCCAGTGTGATCGGGGTCTTACTCTATTCAAAATGAAAAAAAAAATTGCCTTTAGTTACATTTTAACCCCTAGCCTACAGGGCACTTATACCCCCTTCCTGCCCAGGCCAATTTCCAGCTGTCAGCGCTGTCACACTTTGAATGATAATTGCACGGTCATGCAACACTGTACCCATATGAAATTTTTATCATTTTTTTGAGACAGATAGAGCTTTATTTTGGTGGTATTTAATCACCTCTGGGTTCTTTATTTTTATTAAACAAACCAAAAACCACTGAAAATTTTGAAAAAAAAGTTTTTTCTTCGTTTTTGTTATAAAAATTTTGTAAATAAGTGATATTTCTCCTTCACTGATGTGCGCTAATGAGGTTGCAGTGATGGGCACTGATAGGCTGCACTGATGGACACTGATTGGTGGCACTGATGGGCACTGATGAGGAGGCACTGGTAGGTGGCACTGATGGGCATTGACAGGCATCACTGATGGGCACTGAAAGACAGCACTGATAGTTGGCACTGGTAGGTGGCACTGATAGGCATTGACAGGCATCACTGATGGGCACTGAAAGACAGCACTGATAGTTGGCACTGATAGGCGGCACTGATTAGCACTGTTAGGTGGCACTGACTGGCACTGTTAGGGGGCACTGATAGGCAGCACTGAAGGGCACTGATAGGCGGCACTGATACACACTGATAGGCGGAACTGACTGGCACTGATTGGCAGCACTGTTAGGTGGCATTGACTGGCAATTATGGGTGACACTGAAAGGCACTGAAATGATGGGCACTATGTGGCACTGATGGGCACTGAAATGTGGCACTGATGGGCACTGACAGGTGGCATGGATGAGCACTGAGAGCTGGCACTGATGACAGGTGTCGCTGCTGGGGCTAAACAGATCATCAGGGCACACTGATTATCAGTGCTCTGATGATCAGTGTAGATGTCCCCTCCGAGGAATGCCGGTTACCGGCTCTCCTCTGTCAGCGTGACACCTTGTGAGGAGAGAAATGCCGATAACCAGCATTTCCCTATTTACATGCGATCAGCTGTGATTGGACCGTGGATCTCTGTCCGTGGATCGGTGATCAGCTGTGTCCGAGGGACACAGTGCACAGCCGATCGCCGCGCTGCATGCTCGGGAGTTGCACATGCGCGGTGAGAATGGAAGGACGTCATATGATGTCAGCGTTTTGAGTTTTTGGTGCATTTTGGGGCATTCCAGTGCGTTTTTCATTCATTTTACCACAGTCCAGTACAGCTTTGTCCAGGAAAAATGCAGCCTGGTCTACTTTTTTTTCTGAAGCCATAATTCACTGGAACTGCAAGCACTGATGTGAACTATGACATTGACAACCATATAACCTACTTTCAGTGCTTACACTGTAAAACACTCACACAGCCCACAGTAAAACAGCACACAGTTAACCCTTTGATCGCCCCATATGTTAACCCCTTCCTGCCCAGTGCCATTAATACAGTGTCAGTGCTTTTTATTAGCACTGATCACTGTATTGGTGTCACTGGGGATGTCAGTGCCAGTTAATCAATTCTCCCCCCCGTGTCAGAATGCCGCTGCAGTCCCGCAATAAGTCGCTGATCGCCGCCATTACTAGTATAAGAATAAAAAAAAAATTCCAGTATACATACCGCCATTTGTACACACTATAACTTTCATGCAAACCAATTAATTTACACGTATTGGGATTTTTTTTAGCAAAGACATGTAGCAGAGTACATTTTGGCCTAAATTTATGACGAAATGTTTAAAAAAATTTTACTGGACATGTTTAATAGCAAAAGTAAAAAATATTGTTTTTTTCTCAAAATTGTCGGTCTTTTTTTTATAGTGCAAAAAATAAAAAATGCACAGGCGATCAAATACCACCGAAAGAAAGATCGATTTGTGGCAAAAAAAGGACGTAGCTTTCATTTGGGTGCAGCATTGCATGACCGTGCAATTGCCATTTAAAGTAACGCAGCGCCGAAACAGAAAAAATGGCCTGGTCAGGAAGGGAGGGTAAATCCTTTGGAGGGCAAGTGGTTAATGTCAGCTGTGTGAATGTTTGACACATTATCACAGCAATTTTTTCTCTATAATTAGATGTTTTTCTTCACTGGAGAGCGATATTACAATTTCCATGCCATCTAGTGTGAGCATTTATTTGAGATACTTTAGCATTGCTGTAATGATTCCTGCATAGCATACACAATTTACAGATTGGTTGATGTGTTCCGACTGACCTCTGTGCTGGAGCCCGCTTTGTATTATTAGCGTTGGACGCCGTTGTTACGCGCAGGTGACAGGCGCGCACTTTTATTGTTTCACGGTTCCATCTAATTCCTCGTCTTGACACAGTCCATTAAAAGCCCATTTTATGAATCATCTAGACTGGATTTATGACAGGGTGACAGGTCTGGCTGGCGAGTAGAGGAGATGTTGTCAGGTCTGGTCATTTCAATGTAATCTGACAGCCCAGCACCAGCCAGCTTGTTGGGCACCACAGTTAATCAATCACAGCGGACCTTCCTGCCTGAACCTTGCCAATCACGCTCTGCGCCAGCTGCGGGGCCACGCTTCCATTACTCAACGTGCTGAGAGTTCTGAACATGGCAAAATATTTCTACAGACTTACAAACTGCATCTGCACATTCTTACACGTGTTCAAATAATACCAGCAGCCAGGGGCGGACTGACAACTCATGGGGCCCCCGGGCAATAGGGGATTATGGGGCCCCCGTGTCCTCACCCACACCCAAAAAATCCTATGAAAAAGCCAATGAAAGGTACCAGGGGCATCTCATGGGGCCCCCTACTGACCCTGGGCCCTTGGGCAGTGCCCGAGTGGCTAAATGGTTAGTCCGCCCCTGCCAGCAGCACATCCCAGCCACACATGTACCGTACTAGTAGATGACAGAGATCCACCAATGTTCAGAAATGCTGATTGCTTCTCATAGTCATCCTGTGGCATCCATTGACCCAAAAGGAACACGCAGAAGAAAAGTCACACTTTAGGCTACATGTATACTAGAACTGCCCTAGATGTTAACTCCAGGGCTGCTGTTAGAAACCATGGGGACCCATACAGCAAAACTGAGAGCCCCCCCCAAAAAAAATTCAGTTTACTATGCTTTAGTTATGAATGAACACAGTGAGTGGCTGGTACTGATCAGTCATTGCGTTCATTCAAGAAAGGAAGGGCTGATGAATGTGACATATTTACCAGACCCTTCCTTCGCTTTCCATCTTGAGGCTGGGGTCACACTAATGCAGTGCGGTACATCGCCTGTGATTCGCACAGCAAACGTACCGCATCCCTGTGCACATCACATGCAATTTGTGTGCCGTACATTCTGTATGGCTCAAATCGCACCGAACCCCCACCAAACAGGTGCAGGACACTTTTTTGGGTCCGCACTAGAATCGGATTGCATGGGTATTCACACTTATGCGATCCGATTCTGCACATCGCACCGCGTTTTGCAGACCACTTTAGGGGTGTTGTTAACTTAACATACACAAAATACACAGGCATGGATATTTTCAATCTCTCATTTTATATGGAAATTTCTCATTTCTATACAACGCAATATAATGTTACATACCGAAATAACAACCCCGTCACATGAATGCGCCATTTGCAAAGTTTTATTTTGTCAGAATATTGTTCCTGCAGATACGTTTCTAAGAATAATATACAGTATTTTTGCTGTACTGATATTTTTAGTCTTTGCTGCAGCATTTACCTTCAAAGCTGGACTCTGGTCAGGTCCTGCATTGTACGTGATGACGTCTGCAATGGGGAGGCCACATGACCAGGGTGGAGGAGAAGCTGCTTCATGGAATGGGATGTCATACAGCCTATTCCATGTTCCCTAAGCATTAGAGCTTTACTTTATGCGGAGAGGGGGTTTTAGTGGACTGGAGTTTGGATTTAAAGTAGAACTATAGGCAGACTTTTTTTTTTTCGCCATCTATGTCCCAAAGTAGAGATTTCCCCTCACTTCCTGTCCCATATCCAAACAAGAAGCAACAGGAAATCCCAGCAAATTAAAGCATTCCATCCTCCACCCTCCCCCCCAAAAAAAATAAAATATTAAATGTCAGCAGCTACAAGTACTGTAATATTAGGGCACTTACCTGTCCAGGGATCCAGCGGTGTTCTCATCCCAAGCCAATCCTGCAATCAGCTGTTGGAGCGCTGGCACCGCCATATTTACTAAGGGAAGCTTCCTACTGCGCATGCGCATAGCGTGCTGCGCTTTGTGAGTGAACCACAGTCCTCTGGAAACTGTTGAGTTTCCCAGATGGCTTGGGGGGGGGGGGGGGGGGGAAGGCGAACTGAGCCAGACGTGGGAGCGGGTACCTGTCAAAACCAAGTACCCGCTCCCTCCCAAAAAGTGCCAGGGGAGGAACCCCCAAGTCACCAGAACTAGTGTCCCCATTGGAAGATTTCCCCTTTAATACTTTTCTGGGGACAACCCAAAATTTGGAATTTTGTTTTACTTTCACTTTCATTGATAATGGCAAACAGGACAAATAGAGGGGGTGAATCTCCTTAACGGGGGTACAGACAGCAGTAAAAACTAACAGGTTTTCTAATCCCTCTCTACTCCATCCAAAACAAACAAAAAAACTTTTGCCTTTAGTTATACTTTAAGGGATTTTTTGATGCAACTTTTACATTTTTACATGCTTTTTTTTATGTTATTAACTGATACAGACTGTACATTAGCCACTGAAGGCAGCGTAGATTAGCTACTACAACGACTCCCTGTTTAAAGGATAAGCATTGCACAGATCCAGAGTGTGTATCCATCATAATGCCCGCAATGGCAAGTGCTCATAGTTCAGTGCAGTCATGTGACCGTGCTGACCAATGAGAAGTGCATTTGAGGTTTCTTCTTCTGTTAAGGTGTCCCAAAAAAAAAAAGCTCTTCTCATTGGTCAGCATGGCCTTGCAGTCAAGCTGACCAGTGAACGCTTGCTATTGTGAGTGTTATGATGGGTACTCACTCCAGGGTTGTGTATTACAGTGTATGGACAGCTAAACAAGCAGCACAGGGCATCATGGTACAGTGAAGGAAATAAGTATTTGATCCCCTGCTGATTTTGAATGTTTGCCCACTCACACAGAAATGATCAGTCTAAAAATCGAATGGTAAGTGTATTGTAACACAGAGAGACAGAATAGCAACAAAAAATTCAGCAGAAATGCATGTCTAACAAATGATGCACTGATTTGCATGTTCATGTGGGAAATAAGTATTTGATCCCCTTCACAAAACATGACTTAGTACTTGGTGGCAAATCCCTTGTTGGCAATCACAGAGGTCAGACGTTTCCTGTAGTTGGCCACCAGGTTTGCACACATCTCAGGAGGGATTTTGGCCCACTCCTCTTGGCAGATCCTCTCCAAGTCATTAAGGTTTGGTGGCTGACATTTGGCAACTCAAACTTTCATCTCCCTCCACAGATTTTCAATCGGATTAAGGTCAGGAGACTGGCTAGGCCACTCCAGGACCTTAATGTGCTTCTTCTTGAGCCACTCCTTTGTTGCCTTGGCCGTGTGTTTTGGGTCATTGTCATGCTGGAACACACATCCATGACCCATTTTCAATGCCCTGGCTGAGGGGAGAAGGTTCTCACCCAATAATTTCCTTCACTGTATCCGGAGGGGTGGCCTGAATATTTTGAGTTACTTCACCTTTTAATTTTTCAGAAAATATGTATCAAAAGTCATCCCCTAAAGATGTGCATTGGCACAAAACGCATCAGAGGGAGCTACACGCTGACATCACATCATCACTTCTGATTTCGGCAGCTAGCTAAATGTTTGGCTCCATGCGATGAGCACTCTCCTCATACAGTGGTGTTTGTGGCAATCCTACTCGCCCTTAGTGATGCTGTCAGGGCCTGGACTTGAACCTGGGACCTCTGCTGTGTCTAGCAATGACTCTTCTTGCTGTGCCACCTGGAATGCTGGATGGTTCCCTGGACAATCCCTTGAATGATCCTGCCTTGAACTTTGAACTCTTTCCTTCTCCCATGAACTTCCTGATTTAACCCCTTGCCTACCAGGTACTTATACCCCCTTCCTGTCCAGGCCAATTTTCAGCTTTCAGTGCTGTCGCACTTTGAATGACAATTGCGCAGTCATGCAACACTGCACCCAGATGAAATTTTTATCTTTTTTTTCACACAAATAGAGCTTTCTTTTGGTGGTAAGTACTCATTGCTGGGTGTTTTATTTTTTTAGCTATAAAAAAAAAAAAAAGCAAAACTTTTGGAAAAAAAAAAGTCTTTCTTTGTTTCTATTATAAAATTTTGCAAACAGGTAATTTTTCTATAAAAAATAGATAAATGTCGTGCTCCTAATTAGTGATAATAATGCGTATCAACTTACACTCTATTTTTAAATACTGCCAATTAAAACATAATAAATGTGAAAAAAACAACAATACGTGCCACCTGAATAAATTACTCAAAACCAAATTAATAAAAACTAAATAAAGTCTCTGGTGACAAATAAATACTGATAGTCCCAAAAAAAACTTTTGTGATCCAAAAATATATAAAGTGAATTAATAAACAATAAAAGTCTCTGGTGATAAAAAAAATAGTGATAATCCTAATATTGACAAAAAGTGATCCAAAAATGATAATGGTGATTTTCAGTGACTCCTTAATGTGATTAGGTTATGCGCTCACCTCTTTATAAGCCTATTAAAGGCTTACTCCGCTTTTTGTTCACAAATGGAATTTGGTTTTGAGTAATTTATTCAGGTGGCACATATTGTTGTTGTTTTTTCACATGTATTATGTTTCAGTTGGCAGTATTTAAAAATAGAGTGTAAGTTGATACACATTATTATCACTAATTAGGAGCGCAACATTTATCTATTTTTTATTTTATATACACACATTCTCTGAGGATGTGATTAATGTCAGTGAACCTTATCTAATCATAATACAGGTGAAACTCGAAAAATTAGAATATCGTGCAAAAGTTCATTTATTTCAGTAATGCAACTTAAAAGGTGAAACTAATATATGAGATAGACTCATTACATGCAAAGCAAGATAGTTCAAGCCGTGATTTGTCATAATTGTGATGATTATGGCTTACAGCTCATAAAAAAACCCAAATCCACAATCTTAGAAAATTAGAATATTGTGAAAAGGTGCAATATTCTAGGCTCAAAGTGTCCCACTCTAATCAGCTAATTAAGCCATAACACCTGCAAAGGGTTCCTGAGCCTTTAAATGGTCTCTCAGTCTGGTTCAGTAGGAATCACAATCATGGCAAAGACTGCTGACCTGACAGTTGTGCAGAAAACCATCATTGACACCCTCCATATGGAGGGAAAGCCTCAAAAGGTAATTGCAAAAGAAGTTGGATGTTTCCAAAGTGCTGTATCAAAGCACATTAATAGAAAGTTATGTGAAAGGGAAAAGTGTGGAAGAAAAAGGTGCACAAGCATCAGGGATGACCGCAGCCTGGAGAGGATTGTCAGGAAAAGGCCATTCAAAAGTGTTGGGGACTTTCACAAGGAGTGGCCTAAGGCTGGAGTCAGTGCATCAAGAGCCACTACACACAGACGGATCCTTGACATGGGCTTCAAATGTCGTATTCCTTCTGTCAAGTCGCTCCTGAACAACAAACAACGTCAGAAGCGTCTTACCTGGGCTAAAGAAAAACAGACCTGGTCTGTTGCTCAGTGGTCCAAAGTCCTCTTTTCTGATGAGAGCAACTTTTGCATCTCATTTGGAAACCAAGGACCCAGAGTATGGAGGAAGAATGGAGAGGCACACACTGCAAGATGCTTGAAGTCCAGTGTGAAGTTTCCACAGTCTGTGTTGATTTGGGGAGCCATGTCATCTGCTGGTGTTTGTCCACTGTACTTCATTAAGTCCAGGGTCAACGCAGCCATCTACCAGGAGATTTTGGAGCACTTCATGCTTCCTTCCGCAGACGAGCTCTATGGGGATGCTGACTTCATTTTCCAGCAGGACTTGGCACCTGCCCACACTGCCAAAAGCACCAAAACCTGATTCAATGACCGTGGAATTACTGTGCTTGATTGGCCAGCAAACTCGCCTGACTTGAACCCCATAGAGAATCTATGGGGCATTGCCAAGAGAAAGATGAGAGACATGAGACCGAACAATGCAGAAGAGCTGAAGGCCGCTATTGAAGCATCCTGGTCTTCCATAACACCTCAGCAGTGCCACAGGCTGATAGCTTCCATGCCACGCCGCATTGAGGCAGTAATTGCTGCAAAAGGGGCCCAAACCAAGTACTGAGTACATATGCATGCTTATACTTTTCAGAGGTCCGATATTGTTCTATGTACAATCCTTGTTTTATTGATTGCATGTAATATTCTAATTTTCTGAGATTGTGGATTTGGGGTTTTCATGAGCTGTAAGCCATAATCATCACAATTATGACAAATCACGACTTGAACTATCTTGCTTTGCATGTAATGAGTCTATCTCATATATTAGTTTCACCTTTTAAGTTGCATTACTGAAATAAATTAACTTGCACGATATTCTAATTTTTCGAGTTTCACCTGTAAGTGTCTCACAAGTACAATTTAATTTAATTTCATAGGTAATTTTTCTCCTTCACTGATGTGCGTTGATGAGGCTGCACTGATGGGCAGCACTGATAGGCGGCACTGATGAGGTGGTACTAATTGGCAGCACTGATAAGCTGGCACTGATCTGCAACAATGAAGGGCACTGATAGGCAGCACTGATATGCAACAATGACGGGCACTGATGGGTGGCACTGACTGACGACACTGCTGGGCACAGGTGGGTGGCACTGCTGGGCACTTTTGGGCAGCACTGGTGGGCTACACTGCTGGGCACTGATCATTAGTGCCCTGATGATCGGTACCGATCCCTCCTCTAACAATTGGCAGTTATCGGCAGTACTTTCCTCGCGCTGTGACAGCGTGAGGAAAGTGCAGCCGATAACCAGCAACTGCATTTACTGGTGATCTGCTGTGTCATTGGACACAGCTGATCACGAGGTGAAAGGCTACTGTGATTGTCCTTTTACCACACCACGTGATCAGCTCTGTCTATATGACACAGCGATCACAGAGATCGCAGGGGGCGCATGGGAGGGGGCGTTCTGGGATATGACATCCTCCCAGAACTGGCCGGCCGCAGTGTAGCCATCATTCACCTATCTGTGGTCGACAAGTGGTTAAGCCATGTCTCTGCACTTCCTGTTTGCCAGATTATTGTGCTCTCTCCAGCTGACATTTTGCTCTCGTCTCTCCTGCTAATGTCCGTATCTTCGCTCCCATTCATTACTGACCCTTGGCTTATTCCTCGACTATGCTTTTGCTTAATCCCAACCTACAACCGTTCATTACTGACTTTTGGCTTGTTTACTGTCTACGCTTCTGCTTGATCCCTACCTGCTGATCTGCTACTGGACCCCGGCTTGCTTGCCTCCTAGTGAGGCAATCCTGAGGACCGCAACTTGGTACTAACAGACAGCTAAACCCATCTCCACCATCAGTTCTGGTGAATACTGAGATCCCTCAGCTCAGGGGAACCCGTGATATCCTCCCCAAGGGTGATCTGCTTATATACCTGTCCCGTTTGTCGGTGGGCGCTACTCCACTGATATAGCTACTGGCCTCCAAGCCTGACTCCAGATCATGACAGGTGCAGTATGACAGCTACACTAAGAAGACCAAGGGTGGATGGATAGAGCTGGATGGCCAGAGAGGCATGCTGGTCTTGGTTGCCAAAAATATTTTTTTTTTTTTTTTTGCTGCACTGTCAGCTTTTGGAGTTGGTGAGTGTATTTTTTTTCCCCAAGTGGTGATGTCCTTCTCTGGATGGTGAAAGTCACACTGGAAAAGCAAGATTTTCATAAGGCCTTTTTTCTAATTTTCTTCCTTCATGCTAATGGGCTGTTTCACTTTGGGGGGTATGCTACATAACGATTTATCTGTAGTTCATTAGGGCACTGCATTTTTGTTGTTTTAATTTTTCAAGAAAAGGTAAACTTACCCTTCAACAAATGCTGCTATAAAAACTCAGCAATGCAGGAAGTGAATGGTTTTTCAGACAGTCAATTGACTAACAGACTTAAGCAAGACATATACCTGTGTGCAGGATGCAAGGAATCAGTATAGTCCCCATCCAAGCTACACAGGCCTGAACAATGGCTGCATGTGATTGGCTGCAGTTACTGTTCAGCCAAGAATTTAATGCCCAGTTACTTATATTCTCAGTTGTTGAGCTGGGTAATGGCTAACAGCACCACATGCAGCTCAAATTGTGGCCAATCTAGCAGGAATTGCTGAAATTTGAGCCGTGTATGGCTAGCATTACATCGTGATAAGAAGCAGGAAACAAAATCAATGTGTGGCACTGCAAAGCAGGAAGCAGAGCCCACATAAGTCATGGCCAAAAATACTGGCACCCCTGCATTTTTGTCAGATAATGCATCACTTCGCCCAGAAAATTGTTGCAATTACAAATGTTTAGGTATTCTCATGTTTATTTGTTTTGTTTGTATGGTACGACACAAAAAAGTGGAGAAACAAAAAGCCATATCCAACTCATTCCACGCAAAACCCCAAAAATGGAGTGGACAAAATTATTGGCACCTTCTCAAAATTGTAAGAATTAATTGCAATCAAAGTTTGTGATGCTCTTGTAATTTGTAATTAAATTCACCTATATCAATTAACAGATCTTATTGTTCCTGTGTCCACTGTGCACAACATTGTCAAGAAATTTACAGCTCATGGCACTGTATCTAATCTCCCTGGACATGGACAAAAGAGAAAAACTTGATCAAAGATTGCAATGAAGGATAGTTCAAATGGTGGATAAAGGACCTCAATCAACTTCCAAATTCAAGCTGACCTTCAGGCAAAGGGTACAACTGTGCAGGGGCGGACTGACCATTTGGAAACCCAGACACTGCCCGAGGGCCCGGGGTCAGTAGGGGGCCCCATGAGATGCCCCTGGTACCTTTTTCATAGGCTTTTTTGAGTTTGGGCAAGGGCACAGGGGCCCCATGATCCCCTATTGCCTGGGGGCCCCATGAGTTGTCAGTCCGCCCCTGCAACTGTGTCAGCTTGCACTATACATCGCCATCTGAATGAAAAGGGACGCTCTGGTAAGAAACCCAGGAGGACTCCACTGCTGACACAGAAACATAAAAAAGCCAGATTGGAGTTTGCCAAAACTTACCTGAGAAAGCCAAAATCCTTTTGGGAGAATGTGCTGTGGACAGTCGAATCAAAATTAAAACTTTTTGGTAAAGCCCATCATTATACTGTTTTGTGAAAAATAAATAATAAAAAGAATACAGTCCCTACAGTCAAACATGGTGGAGGTTCACTGATGTTTTGAGGTTGCTTTGCTGCTTCAGGCACTGGATGTCTTGTCTGTGTTCATGGCATTATGAAATGTGAAAACTACCAAAGAATTCTGAGGTGCAATGTAGGGCCCAGTGTCAGAAAGTTGGGTCTCCATCAGAAGTCATGGGTCTTACAGCAGGACAATGATCCAAAGCACACGTCAAAAAGTACCCAGAAATGGGTTCAGACAAATCGCTGGAGAGTACTGAACTGGCCAGCAATGAGTCTAGATTTCAATCCCATAGAGCACCTGTGGAAAGATCTCAAAACAGCAGTTGGGAAAAGGAACCCTTCCAATCTGAGAGACCTGGAGCAGTTGGCAAAAGAAGAGTGGTCCAAAATGCCAGTAGAGAGATGTAAGAAACTAACTGATTACAGAAAGCAACTGATTTCAGTTATTTCCTCCAAGGGGTGTGCTACCAAATATTAAATTGAGGGTGCCAATAATTTTGTCCAGTCCATTTTTGGGGTTTTGCATGGAATGTGTAAGATTCGACTTCTTGTTTCTCCACTTTTTTGTGTTATACCAATACAAACAAAAGAATTAACCATGAGAATGGCTAAACATTTGTAAGTGCAACAATTTTCTGGGCGAAGTGGTGCATTATCTGACAGAAATGCAGAGGTGTCAATATTTTTGGCCATGACTGTAATAAGAAAATGTAGCTGCCCTCTTGTATACATATAATTAAAGTCTAAACATAGTGTGACAGTGCAAGGTCCTACCACTGCAGTACTGGAATTGAGGACAAGAGTTCTCACAAATGAAGAGAGAGGGACTTTATCATATCAGTTGTGAATGGAGAAAACTGTTTTTTCAGCTTTCTCCAGATTTTGGTATTCCTGGATTGGATTCCAGAGTTTGGAGGCTTCAAAGAGCTTTGGGAGGATAGAAGCCCCCAACCCAGGGTCCAGATCTTGCCAGAGACCGTCAGAGTGTGTGTGTGCAGGTGCATCCATCCTTGATGACAGACTTGACCATACTTCAGGGTTCCTGTTAAAAGACATGTCAGATGACAGTACTTTGTGCTGGAGTGGAGAGGTTCTTTGCCTAGAGTACTGAAAGGGTTGAGATGACTGAGCAAGTCTAGAGGGTTGAGGAAGAAGAGACAACTGAGCAAGTCCAGGGAACTGAGAGAACTTAAAAGCCCTGGAGAGCCAAATGAGCCCCAAGAGCTGAGTGAGGGGCACATGAAGACAGAGGTGCTGTACATGAGGGACCAGCTAAAAGCTCAAAGGCCAAGTTTACGACCTAAGCAAGCCAGAAGGCTACAGTTGTTTAATTTCACATTTTGATGGTAGAATCCCATATGAGGGCAAATGTTATGTAACTTTACTTTTATTTTTAAATAAAGGTGGACCAACAAGCCCTGAAAATGCACTTCCTCATTGGCATGAACTCACTAGCAAGTTCTACACTAAGGGTACTGAATTGAAATTCATGGAGATCTGATCAGTAAAATTTTATTCTACTCACATTACCGCCCCCTCCTATAAGTCACAATCACATTCTTCCATCAGTATCCTCAGTCCCCCTGCATATCACAATCCCTCCTTCACATCACAGTTTCCCCTTCACAGCACCTCCCCATCTCTACCACCCCCACCCCCCCTTCAAACCTCAACCGCCCCCCACACTTCTGGCACCCCTTCACATTACACAGCCCCCTGCAGTTCTGGCACCCCTTCACATTACACAGCCCCCTGCAGCTCTGGCACCCCTTCACATTACACAGCCCCCTGCAGCTCTGGCACCCTTCACATTACACAGCCCCCTGCAGCTCTGGCACCCTTCACATTACACAGCCCCCTGCAGTTCTGGCACCCCTTCACGTTACATAGCCCCCTGCAGCTCTGGCACCCTTCACGTTACACAGCCCCCTGCAGTTCTGGCACCCCTTCACGTTACACAGCCCCCTGCAGCTCTGGCACCCTTCACGTTACACAGCCCCCTGCAGTTCTGGCACCCCTTCACGTAAAACAGCCCTCTGCAGCTCTGGCACCCTTCACATTACACAGCCCCCTGCAGTTCTGGCATCCCTTCACGTTACACAGCCCCCTGCAGCTCTGGCACCCTTCACATTACACAGCCCCCTGCAGTTCTGGCACCCCTTTCAGGTTACACAGCCCCCTGCAGCTCTGGCACCCTTCACATTACACAGCCCCCTGCAGCTCTGGCACCCTTCACATTACACAGCCCCCTGCAGTTCTGGCACCCCTTCACTTTACACAGCCCCCTGTAGCTCTCGCACCCTTTCAGTTATACAGCCCCCTGCAGCTCTCGCACCCCTTCACGTTATACAGCCCCCTGCAGCTCTGGCACCCCTTCACTTTACATAGCCCCCTGTAGCTCTCGCACCCCTTCACATTACACAGCCCCCTGCAGTTCTGGCACCCCTTCACGTTACACAGCCCCCTGTAGTTCTCGCACCCTTTCACCTTATACAGCCCCCTGCAGCTCTCGCACCCCTTCACATTATACAGCCCCCTGCAGCTCTGGCACCCCTTCACATTAAACAGCCCCCTGCAGCTGTGGCACCTTCACATTACACACCCCTCTGCAGCTGTGGCACCCCTTCACATTAGACAGCCGCCAACAGCTCTGGCACCCCTTCACATTACACAGCCCCTGCACCTCTGGCACCCCTTTACTTTACACAGCCCCCTGCAGCTCACACCCCTTCACATTATACAGCCCCCTGCACCTCTGGCAC